GGGTGGCTGCCTGTTCCTTAGGGGGTTTCTTCTGCCCACAGCACATTCAGAAATACCCATTTCAGTATTTTGAATCTCCACTGGTGCATTATCTTCTTCCTCCATATCCTCCAATGGATCCTCCTCCCCGCAATCCTCATCAGAGCCAATCCTTGAATCATTGACACCCTCAGTTCCATCCTCCACCTCATCTGCCGATAGTTCAGACTCCAAGGGAAAAAACATGCACTGGGTAAGAAGGTTTCCGTGGACCACTCTTTGCTTTTCACCATCTTCTGACTGAATGACATAAACCGGGACTCCAGGCTGTTTCTTTAGGACCAGGTAAGGCTTGGACTCCCACCGGTCCCCCAACTTCTGCCGACCTTCAACGGCGCAGACTTTGACTAATACTCTGTCTCCTGGAGCAAATGTAAGACTTTTCTTGACCCTGCTGTCATAATGCTTCTTTTGCTGCAGCTTGGCTTGTCTGGAGCTTATGTTGGCTTGAGCGTAAGCATGCTTTAGGCAGTCTTTGAGGTCCTGAACATAATCGCTGTATTCACAGGGGTTGCTGCCGTATGTTAGACCAAAGACCAGATCGACAGGAAGTCTTGGATGCCTGCCGTACATTAGATAGTAGGGACTGTAGCCTGTCGAATCATGTTGAGTGCAATTGTATGCATGTGTCATTGCATCAACATACTCGCTCCAACGAGGTTTCAGAGGAGGTTCCAGCGTGCCAAGCATATTCATGAGAGTGCGATTGAACCTTTCTGTGATCCCATTTCCCTGAGGATGGTATGGGCTGGTGTGGGTTTTGGTGATGCCTGTGATTTTACAAAGGTCTCGAACTATGGCACTCTCAAAATTACGTCCTTGGTCGGAATGAAGCCTTGCTGGGAAACCAAACCGGCAAAAGAAGTTTCTCCAAAGCACCTTAGCCACTGTGGAGGCCTTCTGGTCCCTTGTTGGGTATGCTTGGGCAAAGCGGGAGAAATGGTCTGTCACCACAAGCACATTCTCAATTTGACCCACAGACTTCTCTAGTGTGAGGAAATCGATACACACCAGCTCCATGGGGGCAGAGGTATGTATACTGACTAGCGGGGCATGGAGACCAGCAGGAGTCTTTCGAAGACAGCAACGCTCGCAACGCTCACACCACATCTTAACCTCTTGAAACATCCTTGGCCAGAAGAAACGTTCTCTTATGAGAGCAAAAGTTCTTTCAAACCCGAGGTGCCCTGATTCATTGTGCAGGGCAGTCATCACTCCTGTCTGAAGATTCTGAGGTAGGACCAACTGATTGATGACTCCTTTACGACTGTCCCGGACTGTGCGATACAGAGTTCCATCTCTCACAACCAACTTCCTCCACTCTTTTAGGAGAAGGGAGGCCTGTCCTCCCCAAGCCTCTCTCTCTCTTTTGCTTGGTTTGGAATTAATTGCTTTGTAGCTCAACACTGGTCCCACAACAAGATCTTCCCTTTGAGCCGCCCGGATGTCCTGCTTGGTCATTGATGGGAGACATTCAGTACCAGTATCAGCGTAGGGCTCTGACTCTTGACTGGGCACAGGAGGCTCAGACTCTTCTGCCACCCTCTGTGGGCACGACAGGGCCCTAGCCACATCATTGCATGACATTCTTGAGAGCGCATCTGCATTAGCATTATTCCTTCCCTGACGATACTGAATGTCGAAATCAAAGCCTGACAACTGTGATACCCATCGCTGACCAGTGGCGTCCAACTTGGCAGTGGACATGACATATTTCAAAGGGTTGTTATCCGTCAGCACAGAGAACTTATGTCCATAGAGATGGTCGAAGAACTTTTCAGTCGCAGCCCACTTTAGAGCTAAAAACTCTAACTTGTGGGCTGGATAACGGGTTTCTGGTGGACTTAAACCCCGACTAGCATAAGCTATGACCTTCTCGACCCCATTCTGAACTTGCGCCAGGACCGCTCCCAAGCCTTCTCCGGAGGCATCAGTCTGCAGCACGAATGGCAGTGTGTAGTCCGGGTATCCAAGTAATGGAGCTGATGTGAGTTTTTCTTTCAGGGTGGTAAATGATCTTGTACACTCATCAGTCCATAGAAAGGGAGGGTCAGGTACAGTGGTTCTTTTCGTACCCCTTTTTTTCTTTCTGGGGTCACCAGAAGTGAGGCGGTAGAGGGGTGCAGCAATCTTTGCATAGCTCTCCACAAACCTCCTGTAGTACCCCGCAAACCCCAGGAAACGAAGGACCTCCTTACGGTTTGTTGGCTGTGGCCAGTCCTTCACCTTGCTTATCTTTTCAGGGTCAGTGCGGATACCTTCTGCACACACCCGATGCCCCAAGTATTGGACCTCCTTTTTCATCAAGTGGCATTTTGAGGGTTTCAGTTTAAGGCCATGTTTACGCAGTCTATCAAACACCAACTGCAGGCGTTGCAGGTGTCCCTCAAAATCCTTGGAAAATATTATGAGGTCATCAAGGTAGATAAGGAGGTGCGAGTAGTTCAAGTCTCCAAAACAGCAGGTCATCAACCTCTGGAATGTTGATGGGGCATTCTGTAAGCCAAACGGCATACGATTTGCTTCAAAGAGGCCCATAGGCGTGGTGAAAGCCGTTTTATGTTTATCCTGCTCTGCCACCTCCACCTGCCAATACCCCGATGTCAAGTCCAAGGTGGAAAAATACTGTGCTTGTCCAAGAGCTTCCAGAGCGTCTTCGATCCTAGGAAGAGGGAATGCGTCCCTTGTACTGCAGGAATTCAACCTCCTGTAGTCGACGCAAATCCTTAACGTCCCATCCTTCTTAACTACAACCACAATGGGTGACGCATACGGGCTCTTACTTGGGCGGATGACACCGGTGTCTTCCATGTCTTTTAAAAGATTGCGGACATCTTGCCATTGAGCAGGTGGTATTTTCCGATAGGGGAGACGGAACGGCTTGGGATCAATCAGAGGGATTTCATGTTGTACTGTCTTTGTGTGCCCAAAATCCATGGAATGTTGGGAGAATACATCACGGTTCTTTAGCAATAGTTGCCTCAAGCTTTCTCTCTGCTCCTCATTTTCCACTGCAGCCCCACTTAGATCCACTGGACATGTGACAGTGTCCCTGCTCTGAGTCGCCTGCACAATCTGATCTTGAATATGACATGTTTCCATCTTGGAATCCCCAGAGCACTCCCCCTCATTACTCCACTGCAACACATCTCTAACGAGAAAAACATTTGCAAGACAAGTATGTGGTTTAATCAACACTGGCTGGACAGAGAGGTTCATTACTCGGACTGGAACGACGCCCTTCCTGACATAGGCAAGCACTCTGCCCACTACTAGGCCCTCTGGCAGCTGAGAATTTACGTTACATTCAATCAGCGCAGTGTACGTTTTCTTTCTTGGCCCCCCTTTTACCCGGCACATCACGTTCATTTCTTTGCTTGCAGGGACACACATTTTACTGCCAGTATAAACCGCAGGGCCAATGCGGTCGTCGAAACCACAAGGTTTTGTGCCACTCACCTCTGTCAAGGCAGAGTACCATTCTGGGTGCTTCTCCTGTACCATAACCAGGAATTGTTTTCCATATTGGGATTCAAAATGGCTTTTGGAGGCACGTATGACATTAGTACCCACTAACAATGGAACTCCAGACCGGTACTCTGTTACCGGAACAACAAAAGCAGGCACATTGGCAAAGTCTTTCCCCGGAATCTTGAGATTTATGTATAAAAAACCAAAATGGGGAATAGTATGGCCTCCAGCCCCCTCCATTGGGATGCTAGACTCTTGTATCTCCTGCATACACAGCTCAGGGTGTGAGCGCCAGAAAGTGTCTGTGATGGTGGTCACTTGAGAACCAGAATCAATGAGCGCCTTACAGGACATTCCATTAACTTCAACCTGTCCCTCATTTAAAGGTCCGACAAGTGGGGTTTCCAATTCCTTTTGGGGGATCAGATGCATGCCCATGGTTGCCCCAGTCACCACAGGCTTTAGGAGTTTAAAGGCTGGCCACCTGTGATAGCGCCACTATCCGATGTGACAGCGGCGTACGATCCAGCACTGGTAGAGGGCTCATTTTCAGGTAGCACCGCCCTACAGGACCTGGCCAAGTGTCCAGGTCTGCCACAGCGGTGGCACACTATGGTGGCTCTTCGGCTAGGGTCTCTGGGTCCTAAATTCGGCTTGAATGGTGAGGTGGGAGGGGTAAACTTTGTCTCCAACTGAGCAAGCCTTTTACTTTTGTTCTTCTTGATGCAGTGCGATACTTTTCACGAGGTCTGTAAGTTCACGTAACTCAGAAGATTGCTTCCCCGTTTCAGCTCTCTCAGTTGCTCCACTTACTTGCCTATTTGTGACAGTCTGGACCTGGCTGAAAGTCTTCTTCTGCCTCGGCTGGTTGAACTTCTTGGCTTCTCTGGCTATATTCCTGAGCTCGTTCTGTAGCTCCCGAAAGCATAGCATTCTCGGCTTCATGGGAGCAATCCTCAAAAAAACATCCTCTTCAATCAACCCCCTCATGAACTGTCGCACCAGTTTTGCATCACGATCTGGGAATGGTCGGCCCCTGTTTTGGGTGTCTTCCACTTCTCTGAGCGTGGCCTCTAAAGCAATGGCAAAAGAACAGGCTGTCTCCCCTGAACGTTGGGTTCTCTCATAAAAAGTCGGCCAGGGATCCAGAGATCTCTGCATGTCACCATATTCTGACCGTAGTTCATCAAAAGCCCTCCCCGGGACTTGCTCTATTGGGGGGAGGTTTAGAACAAGCCTTCGTGCCTCTCCACTCAAATGCCTGACAATGGTTGCAAAACTGAGGTGGGATGGTAGGGCACCTGCATCTAAAAGATACTGCATGTCTCTGATCCAGTCCTCAATCAGTATTCTGCAGTCTGCCCCACCACTGAAAATGGCCACATTTTTTACTTGATGAAACTGAGTGAAATTGGCTGGGCTGGGCTGGAAAGGAGGAGGCGCCTGGATCCCTGCACACTCATGTGGATAGGCGCTGGCCTGCATGTGGTATGGAGCTGGTTGTGCGATGGATGGGTACGTTTGATTAGCGTGCAGAGAGGCTTGGGAAGCAGGTGTGTTATTAACCCTCACTGGTTGCTGGCTTAGAACAGCGGCATGAGGTGCCATACTACCCGGAATAATAATGCCTGTGTTTTGTGGGTACTTTTCAAAAGCAGTTAACATTGGCCCACCGTAACTGCCCTGGGGATATTGGTAACTGGGTGTGGTGGACATGGCGTTCTGGTACCTGCATGGGGGTTCCCCCAGTCATCAGATTGAGGTGAAGAGGGTTAGACTGTGGAGGCGTGGGCAGAGCATTATATGCCATATTCCAGGGTGATAATGCCTCATGCTGTTGGGCATACTGCTCCGAGTGCTCAGACGGATTCATCAGAATAACTGTTTGGTCCAAAGTCTGGATCTCTCCTTCTGCCCCACCTGGTCTGTCTGGCTGGCGGTATAACTTTGGCCTCACCGCAGGGGGAATCATGGGAATGGGGCGTCGAGGAGCATCTTCATGGAGGTTTTGCACATTACTTTGCATGTTGATTAATTATAACGTGATATCAATCTCTTAAACCGATGAATCAATATTACAGAAATATTCACAAGATAGCATTCAATCACATAACAAAGCACTATTCAACAATGAGAAAAAAATAATGTAATAAAGAGCATATAACTGAAAACTGAGGATACAGCTTATTATGACGTTAACAGTCCACAGAGTTGTCCGCTCTTCCTCTTATAAACCACCATCCGGGTCACGGCACCAAAGATGTAACCCTAGTTCAGCGATGGCAAGCCCCAAGTGTGATCTCTGCGTTGTGTTGTTTGTGTTACTGGTCAGGGGCCAGCAGTGCGGATAGGGAAACCAGGAGTCAATGGTGGAAGAGGCTGAACAGACGTTCCTCATTTATTGCCTTCATAAAAACAAAAGAGAACTCGCAGCGTTGCGTAGCTGCGGAGGGCTTATATAGTTAAGAAAACAAAGGGCGCCCTCTGTTGGCGCACGGACACATTACATCCTTACATATATATATGGTTGTGTGTATATATGTATGGCAAATGAGTATCGCATAAAGTGTGTGTGTATGTTTGTATATAGAAATGTGTTTATCTATGTGTCAGCGTGTATATGTTTTGCATATGCTTATGTGTGTGTATGTCAAATGTGCCAGTGCGTGTTAATGTGCATATTTATATGTATATAGTAATGTATGTACATGTAAATATCCTAAGTCATATCTATCGGTGATGGGCGTGTTGGTAACAGGGGGTGGGCCCAGATGAGCTGTCCCAGCTTCTGCCAACTCACTTTTGGGCTATTGTATTTTCTGTGCTGTTCTAAAAATAAACACTACTACTACTAAGTGGAGAGGACAAAGGGCAGGCTAACGACTAGCATTGGCGTTAGCATTAGCATTAGCCCCGACACAGGATCACTCAGATCTTGGCACAAACAAAGTTAAAGCTGGAATCCCCGAGGCCCACGTGACTCAAAGCCACAGGCTGTTAGTGGACAATAAAGAGATTAAAGTCTTGTACTTACAATAGTGACGTGCCGAGTCTTCAACGCATGTACCGAGGAATCAAAGGGAGTTATTTATGAAGTGTGGGATCCATGGGGTCGAGGCGCGTGTTGATGACGTATGTGGTGACGTTCGAAGCCTCGCGTAGCGGACGCACCACGTGACGGTTCACACTTCTGAATGTAATGTTTAGCTAACATTACAATATACGATTATAAACACCATATTCAGTTAAACTATTATTAAAGGAAATACAAACATTACTTCATGAAGAGCTAAACTTGGCAGTAAAATTCCTGTTGAAAGTCAAACCAGAATAACCGGAAAGATTCACAAGAGAAATGAAATGATCTAAATCCTCTGTCACTGTCTGACAGAATCCACATTTGTCCACATCCAATTTAAATCTGCACCTCAGGATTTTATTAGTTGGAAGAATCCGATTTATGATTTTGAATTGAATCTCTTTACTCTTGAAAGGGAGAGGATATCTTAAATAATTGCATCTGATTTTTTTTTTTATTTGTTCCTTTTGATAATTTTGAGAATATAATCACGTTTGAGAGAATTAGTAACAGAGGTATTGAATTAGCAGGATCGAAGGAATTTGTTGTTACATTTTGTTACGTCAGTAAAATTGATGCCCTAAATGAATAGTCTCCTCATGTTCGGGACAACATTGGAATGAATGAGGTCTTGTTTAACCATATTACAGAGCGATTGAGGAAGAGATTTAAGAATTTGTTTGTATTTTCGTAGTGTACACTGGATCTGAAACTTATTGCAGAATTCACTTGTTGTATAGTCAGTCAGGTTTGTTGTACAGTCTGACAGCTGAAGGAACAAAGGATCTCTTGAAACGTTCCGTTCATAGTGTCATCAGAGGGTGCATTAGAGCCCTCATCCTTCTCTCCAGCACAGCTCCCAGAGTCCACACCTCCCCATCACAGATCAGCCTGTCGAGCCAGTTAATGTCTCTTGAGGTCAGACAGCCCCCAACACGGGGCCCTGAAGAACACGGCACTACCACAGACGGGTAAAATATGTGCAACATTTGACTGCTCACATCAAAGGACCTCAGTCTACACAGAAAGCAAAGTCTGCTCTGACCTTTCTTGTAGATGGCATTGGCCATGATACGTCTTTTAATCATTTTAAAGGCCATGACATAAAAAAACTGATCGTGTTTAGCTTTCCCATGATCATTGTGGGAATTTGTTAGTTTCTTTTTTTTTCTCGATCTGAGATGAATTATTACACTGGGAAAACATAATAAACATAATTTTTTAAATTATCATTATCAATAATAATAATATTATTATATATTGGTAGCAGTAGTAGTACTTGAGGCAGTAGTTGTGGCCCACAACTCTTTGTTTTTATGTGAGGGAAGGTATTTAACATAAAACCCAATTAAAACTTACATAATTAAAAAAAAGGTCAGCAACGCCACCTTGGTTAAAGGACCTAGACCCTAATTTAAAAAATCACAGGTAAAAACCACTGGAGGGAGCAGTGCAAAAAAAAAAACAGGTGATATGATTAAAAATAGATTTATTACAAAAAAATGTTAAAATCAATAAGCGATACCATAAAAGCACTCAATAAAAACTAAAAAGAATCTGCAGTGGGCAGTCCCGGCCCGCCTGTGTTCCGGCCCCCAATCGCTTCACTCTGGGCCTCAAGGTCGCTTGCGCCTCTTTGTTCTCCCGCTCCTGAGAAGATAAAAACAGGACCGCCAGTCTCCAAGTGTATCTGTCTGCGGCCTGCAGTACGGAGGTGTGTCGGGTAGTGACGTCACTACCCGACACACCTACTACTCGACACGCCTCCGTACTGCAAGCCGCAGACAGACCCTTCTCCAGTGGGGGAATGTTGGCCCCGGGAAACCCCGCCCCTTAGTGCTGGACTCCACCGGCTGCGTCTCTGTTTACGGCCGTAGGCTGCTGCCCGTCAGAAGTTCGTAAACAGTAGTGGTCAAACCGGCTTCAGCAGCTCTGGCTGTGCGTTTATCAGCCCCGTTTGTTTTAAACAGAAGAAGCAGTGTGTGATTTGCATGAGCTGTGATACGATCTAAGCTGAGCACGCCGCGATGGATGAGGCAAAACTTATTGAGAGCAATTGGAAAAAGGGGAGAGAGAAAAGAGAGAACTCAAACATATCTAAGCTTTATTGAAAGCGAGTCAATATTGACATTACGCGAAAAATAAACGGAAGATTTACTGTCAGGAAACATTTACTTAAATTTAATTCATGAAAAATTACACACCCATCCATCCATCCATTTTCTACCCTTTAATCCATTTCTGGGTCAGGGGGGTGGCAGTCAGAGATGCCACCCAAGTCTCATAGCACCAGCCCCTCACTGACCCTCTGCAGGTGGTGAGTCCACAGGAGGACGGCTGCTCTCTGAGGCTGAGTTTACACGGAGACAATGTGGCAGTAAAACGGTATAGTTGGATGTCGGTTTCTACCAACCGTTCATACGAAGACTGTGTTCCAGGTGAAAACGTAAGTGTTCAGATCCAGCCTGCAGAGTGGGACAACTCAGAAACGCTGCACAGCGGGAGCTCTTTCACACCCGCGAGAGGGAAAAGGTGTGAAATCCCCCTCTGCTCTGACCCCCACCTCCGTGCTGCTCCCCACACGTACATTTGGACATGCGCAGTAGCGGAGAACAAACATCAACAAAAATGGCGGCCGGTAAACTAACTAGCTTCGTTGGCTTCCAGCGCGGGACAGAGGATAATTCTACACCTTTGTTCGTCCAAACGAGACCACGCGAAGCTCTAGGTTCAGTTTCCATGTTCACAGCTGCTGTTAAAATGCAGAATGATGTTGGTACTTTCTGAGGGTCTGGCACAGGAAGTGAGTACACTGCCGAGAGGGGGGCTGGGCACGGGGCTGGGGGTCGTGTGAGTGTTGTAAAGTTTCTCTGCCCACTACTGGCCGGGCGCTAGAACTACATCGTTTTTCAACCTCATGTGAACGCAGAGGAATTTGCATTAGGAGCCTGGTCGTTTCTGTTAATAGCCTGGAAACGTCTGCGCAGCGTCTCAGTATAAACAGGGCCTGAGTGTGAGCATAGCCTTGATCTTTCAGTGGGGGCTTTGGGCAAAGTGGGGTTAAGTGTCTTGCCCAAGGACACAACGACAGCAGTCATCAGTGGGAGAAGGTGCAGAGGTGGGAATTGAACCCACGACCTTCTGGCCTTAAGACCAAAATTACACACATTTGTCAATAATCATTGTCATTAACAAACACTTATAACCAAGGACTACAGCATATATAAATACATGTTTAATAATGTAAATATATTTTTCCATTGTCTATCCAATGGAAAACGGACCCAACACGCGTCGACGTACGTAAAAAATAGGATTGTTTATTTTGTCCATCCGCGTCCGTTGCACCCTGCATGGACGCACTGCTCCCTACGCGCCTCATACAGATGCATGTTGCGGGCAGTGGAGCCACTTCCATTCACCCTCATGGAGAAAACGGAAACGGAGATGAAACGGACAGGTTTGGACGGATTTGTAGTCTGTTTTACGCAGCCAGTGGAGTCGGGGCCTTATGCTGTTATGCTGCTTTCAGACCGCCAACGCTGAAACGCTGAAGCCTCGCTCACCAGACGAGTTTTCAGTTTCTCGAGTTTCTCGAGTTTTCTAGTTTTCAGATGCAGGGGTCTTCAGACCAGAAGTCCGGAAGTGGCAGAAGTAGCCGTCGGGCTTAGGTGCTAACAGCGTTTAGCTAGCGGCTTCTTGTGTTAAGTCCTTCTCATGGATGTATTATATTAACTGGATAGGGTATTACTAGCTTGTAGCTGAATAACTCATGTGCTCGGGGGATTCTCGCGGTACTGCAGACTGAACCAGACTAAATTCACGTGGGCTACACAGACATTTTCCCCATAGAACTCAATGCATATTAAAACAGCGCGACCTCAGCTGACAGAGAACCTGACAGAGAACCTACAGCTTTAATAAAGGTCGGATTTTGTGGGGATTTTAGTGTCCCTTGTCATCCTGAACTTTTTTTCTTCTTAAATCCTTCGGTTTTGTTTAAATCCACACTTTAGTGCCACAAACTCTGCTCGTCTGGCTCTCGCTCTAACTCCCGCTCTGATGAACTGCTCTGATTGGTCAGAGCGCAGCCGAGCCCCTCTGTGCACGTGCAGGACAGCCACACACGCATATGGGAGATATCGCAACGCATTATGGGAGATCATCCACTGCACAGAACCGGGAGAACCAGACGATGCCCAAATACAGGCGAGTTTCCCATAGATCTTTGTGAGTTCCAGACGAGTTCTGCTAATATGTAGTAGTGCAGAGTTATATACTGTACATAAGTATATAACTCTGATAATAAGTAGATAAAGTCACATTGTTCAGTGACATTCTGAAGTTGCACATTGCCGTATTGCACATTGCACATGATTTAGTATTTACTTATTTACAGATTAATGACATTTACAGACTCAGCAGTTCTCATTGTACAGTCTGACTTAATGATTTTGTCGGATGGATGAGTTTCTCCTCAAGGTTCAATAAAGTATAAGTGATGATCTTATCATTGTCCATCTCCACAGTCCATCCTGACGAGGCGATCTCTGAGAAACTGTATTGTCAGAATAAAATCCCCATATTTCAGGACTTGAGACCCATAGAAGCTGACAGGGATTAACCCTTAAGTGTCACCTCACTGCATGAGAATGTTACGTAGTGTATTACTTCATATTAAAACTTGAGCAGAGAACAGTTTTTCAATGAAGATAACACTTTAAATGAGATTTAATATATATTTAATCTGTTTTGGTAAAAAAAAAAAAAAACTTGTCTGCATCCATTTCCTTCTTCATTCTAAGTTTGTGCAAGATAAATCTTATTGAAAGTATTAATACATCTTATTATAAATGTCATTGAAAGCCCCATTTTTTTTAAACCAAATGCAATTGAAGGGGGCGTGGCTACAGAGTTAGACCAAAGCAATGCATTAAATCGGTTGAGTTTCTGTTTTGATATTGCTCCAGTTCCCAAAGTGATGTAGGTCCTTCATATTCCTCTAACCTGCTCTGAGGTTTATGCACGACTTTTAGCTTCTTCTTATTTGAACCGCAAGTAAACGTGCGCTGCCACACATACACACACACCACTTCATGTTCTATAAAGACACTTCAAAGTAGCCCCAATCTTCTCCAAGACACTGGTTTGACTCAAAATATCATACACTTTCAGTAAAACATGTTCTAGTTTCTTTCACAACCTGACACTTCCATGAGACCAGTGAGAATCTAGAAATGGTCTCATGAATTAAGAGCCTCCAGGAGTCGGTACAAAGAGCAGCATCTGTCCACATCCAACATAAAGAAGCTATGGGACTCTAGGACAATGACAAATATGGACATAAAGCATAAGCCACTATGTGCTCAAAATGAAGCTACAAGGGCCAATGAACTGAATGACTTTTACATGCGTTATGATACAAGTAATGATAATGAATGTTTTGCTGTATTAAATAATATAACATGTAACTTGTGTAAGGACAGAGTGCTAATTGACCCCCCAAGAAGTCGTTAAAGTTATGAAATCCATTCATACGAACAAAGCAACAGGCCCAGATAAAATCCCTGCATCGCTGCTTAAAAGCTTTGCAGAAGAGCTCTCGCCAGCGTGGCACAAGCTATTCCAGCTCTCTATCGACACCCAAACTGTGCCAGTACTGTGGAAAAAATACACCATAATCCCAGTCCCTAAAAAGGCATGCCCCAAACTGGATAATGACTACAGACCAGTTTCTCTAACATCAAATGTTTTTAAATGTTTTGAGAGGCTGATGTTGAATAATTTAGGATCCCAGGTAGAACCCCTACTCGACCAATTCCAGTTTCCCTTAAACCGTAGCACAAGTGACGCCATTACTACATTGATGCATCTCATTTTAAAACATCTTGAAGAAAATCCTGCTGCTTTTGCTAAGTTACTATTCCTTGATTTTAGTTCTGCATTTAACTCAATACAGCCCCACATTCTTCTGAGCAAGCTGGTTCAGGCACAGGTAAACCCATTTCTGATAAAATGGTATCACTCTTTTTTGAGAGAGAGACCACAACAGGTAAAATTTAATTCCACAATATTAAATACAATATCTAGCACTGGCGCCCCCTAGAGGTCTGTCAGCTCACCTTTTCTTTTTACATTCTACACTAACGACTGTGTCGCTCATTGCCAGACCAGTACATTTTAAATTTCTCAGACGATACAGTTCTGCTCACTCTGATGAAAACCAGTTCCAATCAGAATGTACACATGGTTGCTGTTGATAGTCTGGAAGAATGGTGTGACACATAAATTACAGATGAATACAGAAAACACAGCGCCGCAAATGGCGAAGTGGCACGCTCTCTGCCAAGACAATTTCCAAGTGATAACTTTGTTACTCACGTGGCAATAAAAATGATTCTGATTCTGATTCTGATTCTGAAAAGACGGTGGATATTGTGATGAACCCCAAAGCAGCTGGTCACCATGAGCCAGTGGCCATCCACGGCCAGGACATTAAGCAGGTGAGCTCCTTTAGATATCTGGGAGTCCACATTGACTCAGATCTGAGCTGGAGACACAGGTGACGACTGTTTGCAGCAGAATCCATCAGCGCCTCCACTTTCTGCACAGACTCAGACTGTTCGGTGTGTCCAAGACCATCATGCTCCTCTTCTACAGAGCATCCATCCAATCACTGCTGAGGTACGGATTACAGCTGGTTTGGGAATCTTCTTGTCAAATCCAAAACACAAATGATTAACTTGTTTAAAACCGCTGGGAAAATCATGGGCACGCCTCTCCCTCTTGGCCCCCAGGAGCTCTATGAGCAGGCCATGAGGAGACAGACCATGAGGAGACAGACCAGGAGGAGACAGACCAGGAGGAGACAGACCAGGAGGAGACAGACCATGAGGAGACAGACCAGGAGGAGACAGACCATGAGGAGACAGACCATGAGGAGACAGACCAGGAGGAGACAGACCAGGAGGAGACAGACCATGAGGAGACAGACCAGGAGGAGACAGACCAGGAGGAGACAGACCAGGAGGAGACAGACCAGGAGGAGACAGACCATGAGGAGACAGACCATGAGGAGACAGACCAGGAGGAGACAGACCAGGAGGAGACAGACCAGGAGGAGACAGACCAGGAGCCTCCTCTCTGATCCCACACATGTACTTTTCCTGAATATGAGCTGTTGAACTCTGGGAGGAGGTACAGAGTGCCTCGGTGCCGACTCAATCGCTTTAAGAACTCATTCATACCTGTTTCAGTGAATCTGTTAAATAAGGACATGAGGAGATGAAGTGTGTGTGAGCAGCACGTGTGTTGGTGTCTTTGTATGAATGTATTTTTGTACTGAAATGTAGCGGACCCATCAGTCCAAACCAAATCTCTCCTAAAGGAGACAAAAATAAACAAATCTTGAGTCTCCAAACCATAGCTCGCCAGCCCCTTTCAGGTGGCTCCCCAAAGGATCTTGAATACATTGAGTCATACATATCTATTATAAGTAAAGCATATAAGGTTATACAGTATTATAGTATTGTAATGATTGTTAAATCATTAAATCATCAATATTTAAATTCACATTTACCACTCATTAAGTGTTTCCAGCTAATTAACAATGATTAGGTGATATGTTAAATATTCATCAACATCAAAATACAAGTATACTAATAATCTACATAGTATCGACTCATGGTACTAAGTACTCACACCATGAACTACTAAGAAACAAAATATACAACACATTTTTCATTGTTTTTTTGATATTTATTATAAATCATTTCATTTCATTTCATTTTTTCATTTACATCCCTTTATTTTCCATTTCTGGGTCAGGGGGGTGGCAATCAGAACTGCCACTCAATTCACACAGCACCAGTCCCACGCTGATCTTCCTGCAGGTGGTGGGTCCACGGGAAGATGGCTGCTCCTTCGACACAGATGCAGCCTTGGTCTTTCAGCGGGGACTTCAGGCACATTGGGGTTAAGTGTCTTGCCCAGGGACACAACGACAGCAGACATCAGTGGGAGCAGTTGACATGGGTCGTAGTGGGATCGAACCCACGACCATTAGGTCCAAAGACCATTGCTCTACCAACTGAGCTACTGTCGCTACTGTGAGCTAATGTCATTATAAATCATGACATTATATAATCATTTACAAATGATTATTACAGTATTAGGGTAATTGAATGCTCATAATAACATATACATTAGTTACACCTTTATCATATGAACAGAGTACGTTCATGTTTACTAATCATTACTCTTTTTCCAAACAGTATTATAAAGTGGGGACTGTTCCTTATTAACTAATGTTTATCTAAGTATATGTAAAGCTAGTTCACATTAACAACTCATTTACAGCGATTTAATATTCATTTACAAATGCTTACAGCAAACACCAATGAACGACTTCAACTAAAACAGTGGCTAACCACTAAAAACTGTTTTTATGTTGTTATAAACATAATGTTATGTTTATTATGTTTGTGTGTTTTAAACTGTAAGGTAAATATGTGGGTTTAAAAGAAAGCAGTACATCATGTTGCATATTTTAAATAAAACGTTGATACTTTATGTACTAAGGATTACACTATTGTGTGATGTTTTGTACTACACACAGCTGTGTTCTGTACTACACACAGCTGTGTTTTGTACTACACACAGCTGTGTTTTGTACTACACACAGCTGTGTTTTGTACTACACACAGCTGTGTTTTGTACTACACACAGCTGTGTTCTGTACTACACACAGCTGTGTTTTGTACTACACACAGCTGTGTTTTGTACTACACACAGCTGTGTTTTGTACTACACACAGCTGTGTTCTGTACTACACACAGCTGTGTTCTGTACTACACACAGCTGTGTTCTGTACTACACACAGCTGTGTTCTGTACTACACACAGCTGTGTTTTGTACTACACACAGCTGTGTTTTGTACTACACACAGCTGTGTTCTGTACTACACACAGCTGTGTTCTGTACTACACACAGCTGTGTTCTGTACTACACACAGCTGTGTTTTGTACGTTACTGTTGGACTAACTCGGGGATTTATTACAGGAGGAGGTCGATGTCAGTGCGGCTACAGTAGCCATTAGATTTTTATAAAAGTTATAGTTAGGGAGTGTAAATCCTTTTCAGACAAGAGTGAAGAGATGCGGAGGAAGAGAAGGATGCAATCCAGAGTCCAAGGCCGGACCAGACCAGAATCCAAGACCAAGACCAGACCAGAGTCCAAGACTAGTCTAGATGACGTCAGCGGCACTTCCTGTTTTTTCTACATGTTTTACATAAAACTGTTCTGTTCGTTTGGTTAGTCAGTCACTCAGAGAGAGACCAGGGATAGGAAAGTTAGGATAGGAGCTCGAGTTCTGTATTTGATAGTAAAGATAATTAAATACTGATTTTTAACTCTTGAAATCTTCGTATTCTTTCTCTTTATCAAATTGGAAACATGTCAGTCTTATTTTTGGACAATAACGTTCCTGCTGGTGTAGACGCCTCCTTCCCCTGCTGCGGGGTCTTCCTCTCAGTCATAACACTGCTTATTACACGCTCCTCACAGCAGCAGTAGAACGCTCCATTGATTTAAATGTAATTTCAAAACGTTCTACCGGTCATTATTTTCTATAACGGACCTCTCAAAACAATAATGACCGCTGCCCTTTGGCAACGCACTTTCTGCTTGTATTTCAGATGTGTGGATAACTCCGCAAGTAGTTCCGGCCACTCCGGAGCATTCTTCACACACGTGCACGGAGATTTTCAGAATTTACTGCTCCTGTCTTCATGACAAAAATACTACGTATCTGCGTCAAAAAGCGATCATGAAAAACCCAGAAGTAGTTCCGGCCACTCCGGAGCTAGCCACGCTCATTAAACGCAAATGCCAATCAATCAACACAATTAAATGTTAATCGGAGAATACATTGGACATATACATTCTTAATACAAGTGCATGGAAGTTTTCAGAATTTTCCGTTTCCGTTTTCATGACAAAAACACTGATGTAATGCGAGAAAAGGCGATGCCCAAAAACCCGGGAGTAGATACGGCACATTTTAGGAACATTTGCAGAGGATCGAATTATGGATTTAGGTTAAGTTTATGTTTGGGTCACTCACCGCTGATGTTCAGGATTCTGTGTTCAGTTTTCATGCAGTTCCAGAGAGTTCTAGTTTGGAAGTTGCCAGCCTAACTGTTGCTAGCATAGCCACGGGAAAGCCTTTGGGAACTATTTTATTTTCTTTCTTATTTTAAATAAACCTTTCGGCATTCCTAAAAGTGGACTGAAGTTTATGTTGTGTGTTCTGTAGGTATAAAGCCGTATAATAAGCGGGATAACGTATATTACGCAGGTCATTATCGGAAAATAAGTAGCTTCAGGGCGGAAGCAGACCCTTCCACGCAGTTATCCCTTACATATTACGTCTAAAGTCACTTCTTTAGGCTCTGACACAAACATCATATATGTTTTATAAAAAATTTAAATCTCAAACAAAATGATTAAAGCAACTCAAACATCAGTAATTGAACAGAACATTAATTTGTTTAAATTGCAAATAGTTTAAAGAACTAATAAATCTACTATCTTAATATTTGAGTAACAAATATATCCAAGTATTTTGATTGTACTGATCTGAAGTTTCAAAGTGATGCGTTGCACATGATTCTTAGATTTGATCAGTTCCGTCTTTGTGGACCTCAGCTTTAACCCTGTGGAACCCAGACATCAAAATATTTGTTGACAAACCTATACAATTTGGCAATGTAGCATATTAGCTTAATGTATTAAACCAAAAGGTCACAACCCTAATCCTTAACCTTTGAACTTGTTGCATGTTGGTGACAGAAGGTGCTATGGGGTTGAAGTTATTCAGCCAAGTTCCATCTGGATCAGGTGTAATACTGCACTCTTCCAGCAGGTGGCGCCACTTCTGTGTTGAAAATCTGTGGACTGAATTTCAACTGAAATCTATGATCAATTATAGACTATGTAGTTAATTAAACATGGTGCAGCTAACAATTACAAAAGCAGCTCACGATCTCCCATTTTGGCCATGACATGGGGACATACTTTAAATCAAACCAAAATATAAAGACAGAAAAACCACCAGTGAGAAAATGCATTACTTTTATTATCACCTTTTTAAAATAAAATCCACCATTTTGTTTTTCAATCAATCTCATTTTTATACATTTTTTCCCCCCATGTTTATATTAATATTGTCAGTTCATGAAAAGCAGCCACACCGCGGTATAAAAACTCTTGTCCTTTATACTATAACCGGGCTCTGCAGAGACATTAAAACTCTAACTTTATAAATATGTGAAACTCTTAAGTGCTTTTGGTCGGAGTGAGGTTAATAAACTCCGATAATGTTTAGTGACCAGTGGATTTCAGTGCCAAAGGTATCAGCTCCAATCTCGGGCTTGAACCAGACCCAATGACAAGACAACATTTTACATTTCTGTACAAACTAAGCTTTTAAATCCAACGTTTGTACAAATTAAAGGTTGGTTCAACTTCCACTCTCTTGAAATCACATCAAGACCACACTCGAAGACCACACTTTCGGCTTTAGGTGTTTGAACCTCGGAATGTCCTTTATCAACTTGTTAACACATATAGATTAGTTCATAGAGTCCAGTTCTTTCATAAATTAGCAAATATTTTCGATTTTTGTGCACATTTTAACAGATTGCAGTCAATAGATCCAGCCGTTGTTCGAGGAAAGATCGCTAAACTCTCCTGAATTGACATCAAAGACCAAAGCACGCCTTGGAAATGCAGGAGGACCATATTTTTGTCTTAAGATGTCTGAACCTTGGAATGTCATTATCAGTTTGTTTACAAGTGTCTGGTGCATTCTCTCATGAATAAGCAAATATTTTTGATAGTGCAAATTTTAAAAGATACTTGTTCATTATTCTAGGAAAGAGTCTTAAGAAATGATGGTAGTCAAATTTTAGCTCATCTACTTTAAAGCCCAAGCCTGGGTTTTGAGTCCATCTGTTTTTACATTGTTCATTTTAAGTTCTATGAGCAGCATTTGGAAGAGTTAGTAATACATGCTGTTCCAGATTTAAAGTTTCAGTTTTCAAGAGCTCTTCTGTGCGTTCAAATATGGCTTAACTACACTTGATCATATTCAGATTCTTAAAACTAGTATGATTCAAAGATGTACCATATTTTGCCTCTTCAGATTGATCATTTGTTATTTTTAGCATTGTATTTGATTTAAAAGTGTCAATTCGAGACCAAAACATGGCCTTCCCACTAACCTAGGGTCCTTCATCAGTGAGCTAATTTCAACGCAATGTCTTCTGGGTAACACATCTTTTTAAAAGGACCAAAGCAGGTATCAATGTCTCACGTATTAGCCTTTGCACTGAACTAAAGCCTCGTACTTTCAATCCTGAGCCAGGGAAGACTTGAGCACCAAAGGATGTTTTAACGTTCAACTTTTAGCCTTGGCACAAACTTCTAAAGTACTTCTAGTCATTTTACAATATGTGATGTCCTCTTAAACTTGGAACTCTTGTCACCCATGACCACAGAATCAAAGTCAAGTTTTCATTTGGGTACAAATGTCAAGCAACGGCTTTCAATAACTTGATATTCCAGGAATAATCGCAGAAGTCCATCATAAGACCAAAGCACCCAAGTTGGCTCATATATTTAGCCGTAGCACCAACGTAAGTGTTTTTAGTTTGTTTACAATCAGTGGCGAGTGGTTTTTGTGCAAATTTTGACGAAATCCGACCACTTCCTTACAAGAGCAAAACACTCATGTCCTTTTTTCAGCCGATGGCCCATTCCTAGCGACACGTGCAAGACTCTGCCACCATATCCTCCAGCGCCTTGTACTCCACCCCCTTCGTGTGCGCCACCAGAACACTGAGCGGAAGGTACTTGTACGGCACGCAGCTGGGCATAGGCACGTCTCCCAACCTGAGCCCATGGATGGAGTTCTGGATGATGGCGTGGTTTGGAGAGTTGAAGCCGTAGGGAATCTCCCGTGGGCAGTCCCCCCGACAAAACCGTGGATTGTAGAAGGGAGGAGCGATGAAATGGTTCCCCAAACCGAGCTGCTCGAAGGTCAAGCGGATGGAGTGCAGGCGGCAGCGAGATTTAGTTGTTCCCTTTTTGCGTTTGTAGTTTGGAGGGAGTTGTGGGGGGGTTGAGGTCCGTGCGGTTCTGTTCAGGGATAAGTCTTTGGACCTCCTTTGGAGCGTTTCAGGAAGTCCGAATGCATTTTGCTGTGATAACTTTTTGGACAACTCAGCCCTGGTTTGGGAAGAGTCTTCGGAGCTTCTTTGCGTCGCAGGTAGTCCATTTGAGTTTTGGTTGGACATGTCTTTAGATTGTCCAGCTCCGATTTGGGACAGGTCTTCAGACCTTTTTTGGCGTATTTGGAGTCCATACGTGTGTCCATACCGGATCTGGTTCACAATGTTCTCAGAGTCTTGTCCCAGCAGTTCGCTCATCCACTCGCTCACCTGACGCTCCTCCTGCAGAAGAGTTTAGTTCAATAAAAACTGTTTTAATATAAATTACGCAGACCTTTTAAAGACCAAATATTTGGCTACACACATGGTATCCACAAAACAAGATAATACTCAAAGGAAACAGATTTGAGCCAATACAAGGTTAAAAGGTCCCAAATTACGCTTTTGACTTTTCTACAAAAAATACCTCTTTCTGCACTTTACTTAAAAAAGCCAATATTTGGCAGATACTGCATAGTTTACATTTATATTTTTTTTGTGTTGATCCATGGCCACATTTTTGAATAAAGGGATGGACATTTTTATAATTTTATTTTCCGATTCCTCGATTAATTGACCAATGAATTGATTATAGTAGGGCTACAACTAACAATTATTTTAATAAAGTTTATTATTAGGGCTGAAATTATTATGTACCAGTAAGGGTGCAACAGATCGAAAAACTCACGGTTTGGATGGTTTCTCGGATTGAATCAGCAAAAAAAAAAAAATACAACACAAAGTTGTGTCTTCCAACACCTTCAAATTATTCAATAAAAAAAGGTCCATTTGCCAGGTTTATACAAATTAAACTCTGGGTTAAGAAAGGACTAGGAAAACACTTTAAACTAAGTTTAAAACTTAAAGTAGTACTAGAATTTAATATGCTGCTATCCAGAATATATAACTACAATATGTGTTTATAATATTTCGGGTGTTCATTTTGATATGTTCAGATGAATTATGTTAAAAAAACGGCTTTGAAGTGGCACCTTTTCACTTCCGCATAGAAACGCTAGGGGGCGCCAAAATGGCGGCGATGACGTAGGAGAAGGACCTCTCACAGCAGCAGCAGCAGTCTGGGCTGAATCTGTAGGAGGTTTCACTGTCATCTGAACAACGTATAAACATATTTTCATCAGTTTTGTACATAATAGTGTGCAACTCTTTTAACCTTTTAGCCTTATTTGTGAGATTCAAGCTAATTAGTGTTGGGCAAGTTAGCTAACTCTACTTGATATCATAAAACATGCTAACAAGGCTAATATTTGTTTTTACATTATGCCAGTCTCACTTTGGTTGCCTTAGATTTATTTACCACAATGTACATTGTAATATCCATAAATGCTAACACCTATTAACGGTTTAATTAGCATTTTTATCAATGATTACATCACATGTAGTCTATGTTTGCAACTTCTGCAGCTTTTTGTTCATAAAAGTAAAATATTTAATTCAAGTTATTTTGATTAGCATTTATGGATATTACAATGTACATTGTGGTAAATAAATCTAAGGCAACCAAAGTGAGACTGGCATAATGTAAAAACGAATATTAGCCTTGTTAGCATGTTTTATGATATCAAGTAGAGTTAGCTAACTTGCCCAACACTAATTAGCTTGAATCTCACAAATAAGGCTAAAAGGTTAAAAGAGTTGCACACTATTATGTACAAAACTGATGTAAATATGTTTATACCTTGTTCAGATGACAGTGAAACCTCCTACAGATTCAGCCCAGACTGCTGCTGCTGCTGTGAGAGGTCATTCTGCTACGTCATCGCCGCCATTTTGGCTCCCCCTAGCGTTTGTGAAAAGGTCCGACTTCAAAGCTGTTTTTTTAACATAATTCATCTAAACATATCAAAATGAACACCCGAAATATTATAAACACATATTGTAGTTATATATTCTGGATAGCAGCATATTAAATTCTAGTACTACTTTAAATAAAAATAAAAAGCACACATTGGCGTTGAAAATCCAAGAATGACACTTCCTGTTAACGTTAGCTGTAGGCGCTGCTTAAATGCTGCGGTGATAAGCGGTTGTTTTCTTTGTTTTCACTCCAGAGGGGATTTGCTTCAAATGCCTGGCCATGCTTTATGTTTCCACTGTCATGTGGCTTTGTTGTGCCACAGCGCCGACAGTTGTTGACCAAGGTCTTTCCATCACCAGTATATTTGTCAGGGAAGCCAACATGCTTCCATACGTTCAAGCTCCTCCGTTCCTGCACTCGCTATGACCACGCAACACACGCACAACTTTCTTTATAAATCAATCCGTGGATCACATTTGTGCCGAAGAGAAGATATTGATCCAAAATATGTACCGGTGGAAGCTGAACAATTAGCTTAATCAGGTAAACACATGTGCATATGATGTGCTGTGAAATCAGTGGGGGCGGGTACCGGCTCAAAAGCGGCCAAAATAACGTGCGCTGACATGCTGCAATACCACCCCGGGCAGATAGGGGTGGACCGTTTTTACACAATTTTCTTGTGGGCGGGACCTGGGGCTGGGCGATATGGCTGAAAACTATATCACAATATAAGTAATTCATATCAGTCGAGAACGATATTTATTATATGACTTTGACAGTACACGCGCTCTGATTGGCTGATTACCGGTCTGATATTTTCCCATCTCGGACCGTTACCATGACAATCGGTCCGAATAGCGCGTATCACACAAAACCAAGTCGGACATGAACATACTTCACAAATATCTCAAAAGCGTTGGTAAAGACACAGACCAGAGTCATATAATAAAACATTTATTAACCTCGCCACGGCTCGGTCTGTTCAGAGAAATATCAGACCTTGGCTTTTTTGCACAAACCTCGCCACGGCTCGGTCTGTACGTTAAGGCTCGGTCTGTGCATTAAGGCTCGGTCTGTACATTAAGGCTCGGTCTGTACATTAAGGCTCGGTCTGTACATTAAGGCTCGGTCTGTGCATTAAGGCTCGGTCTGTACATTAAGGCTCGGTCTGTACATTAAGGCTCGGTCTGTACATTAAGGCTCGGTCTGTTCATTAAGGCTCGGTCTGTACATTAAGGCTCGGTCTGTACATTAAGGTTCGGTCTGTACATTAAGGCTCGGTCTGTACATTAAGGCTCGGTCTGTACATTAAGGCTCGGTCTGTACATTAAGGCTCGGTCTGTACATTAAGGCTCGGTCTGTGCATTAAGGCTTGGTCTGTACATTAAGGCTCGGTCTGTACATTAAGGCTCGGTCTGTACATTAAGGTTCGGTCTGTACATTAAGGTTCGGTCTGTACATTAAGGCTCGGTCTGTACATTAAGGCTCGGTCTGTACATTAAGGCTCGGTCTGTACATTAAGGCTCGGTCTGTACATTAAGGCTCGGTCTGTGCATTAAGGCTTGGTCTGTACATTAAGGCCGCGGTCTGATATTTCTCCATACAGACCTCGCACTCGGTTAATAAGCCGTTAATATTGATTGTTTTTTATTTATTTTTTAAAACGTAAATAAATACATTTGTCGTGTCGGCTAACACATGTTAGAAGCCTTGTTTACAGTCACGGGGAATGAGGCTGGTCTCCCCCACTTTAGTCCTGGTTTAATCCTGGTTTAGCTCCTGTTTTGGCTGTTTTCGAGTGTCTTGCGTCCCTGTGGCGGCTCCGGAAAAAGTTAATCTCTTGCCAAATGCATCGAGTCTCTGTACCCACTGCCTCTCCCGCCGCACATGCTGTTCGTCGCACGGACGTGTTTAACCATTGACACGGCCTGAAACACGATCTTTAGATCCATGGCTATTATAATAGATCCATGGACGCTACGCATGGTGCGGTTGTTTTTTTGCTTTTCCCAGAAAGTTTTGCGGTTTGTAGTCGGCTGTGATAGGTCTAGAAGCATTTGCCTACATCTCCCAGAATGCCGTGCGCTTCTGACTCTGCTTTACTTCCTGTGTTTTGTTCCTGTTTTTTTTCGAACGGACTGAAGTGAAACTATCGAAGTTCTATCGACCCCGTTTTCTGTTGATATTGAACACGTGTCGCAATATATATCGTTATTGTTTTATCGCCCAGCCCTAGCGGGACCACTCGCAGCCATTTTGGATAGCTCCAGTAGAGCAAATTTTTTGGCCCATTTGTTTGAACGGCGGCGATAGGCGTGACTACGTCCGTTAATATTTAGTCTATGTGTGAAATATAAGAGTAATATGGGAACTTTACATGATTTTGGCCAAATATCAAACTGAACTGAAACACACCGAGGAGAATTAATGAGGTTGATCATGATTCTATTGCAACCAAAGACTTTTCGCTCACCTGCAGATAGAGCAGCAGAGACGGCACTTCCAAGTGAGTTTCTGGAGCTTTCCTCTGCCCCGCGCGAGAGAACCACCTCCTCCAGGGTCGATCGCCGTCCTTGTCCCCCATCAAGGAGCACCTGTAGTGGGCCGTGAGAGTCAGCGGCGAGGAGGGATCCTGGAGCACGTGGGCAGTGATGTCCGTCTCTGCCCAGCGATCGTGAGGCTCCAAGACCACGGCCACATTCAGGCTGGCATCGTGAAGAGCCGAGGAGGGCGGAGGACTGGCTGAGATCAAGATACAGACATCCTTTATTCTAACCACAGTGGGGACATTTCAGTGTTGCATCACAAGTTACAGAGCAGACACAGCACAACTCTCACAAACAAGTAAAATATCCATCTTTAGCTTAATAAAAGAAGCAAAGTATAAAATATTCTTGTACAAGAAATATATACTTTATGTATACATCTGTAGATACATCTGTAATACACTCTAGTGCTAGAAAACGGAGGTAGTAAGTAGGGATTGTCCCGATCAGATAAAAGATCCGGACAATATATCATGGTTTTTGACTGATTGGGGATCGGCTTATCTGCCTGACGACTCGCCCGATCTTGACAGCTCTTGTCGTGAAGTAACAGTCGTTTACGGTAACAGCGCAATAATTTAAAACTCAGTTACGGTAGAAAGTGGTGTTATATGGCTACTAGCTAAACCAGTGGTGGGCAAACCCTGGCCCGTGGGCCAGATGTGGCCCTTTGGATGCTTCTATCAGGCCCCTGAAGCCTCCTCAATTTATATAGATTAAGATTAAGATCAAGAGAGATTAGGAATAAGAACATTTATTCATCCCACAGTGGGGTAATTTCAGTTTAAACATCATACAATCTCCCTCTGTGCTGTGTGCAGAGCTATTTTTTCATATAAACAATACATTTATGTTTTAAAATGAAGCCTGAGAAAAACATTGGAATATCAGAGGGCTGTCGGGATCTGGACCTAATTTCCAATGTGGCCCTCAGGAGGAAAAGTTCGCCCATGTCTGAGCTAAACCATGTCAAAAGTGTGGTAGTATTTCTCATTAGAAAGCACAAAAGCAACATGCAAAGTATGCAACATGTTGACGGTGGGAGCAGCAGAGCTACATTCAAAACCACAAAAGATTCTGCATTTGAGACTAAAAATGAAAGTGAGAATACAGTGTTTATATTTAGCTATTGTCACACTACATTACACTTTGGCAGCGATGGGCAGATAAAGCCCCTTAAAGACCAAGGCTTTCTCTGAGCTCATACTAGGTTGTAATGCTGACAACTAGTGGAAAAAAAATATTGCAGCTTCTGAATGTTTTGAGTGCCAAAAAAAGGCACCACTTTTAATAATGACAATTTCCCCATCAAACAAATGAGTGGCTACAAAATTTTGTTCTTATAATTTCCAATACCAGTTATAACACGCATTGGAACAAGACTTAAAATTTGACTGGATTTGAAGTTAGACAATCAAGGCCAAAAATTGTGATCTGGATATCCCTAGTTGTAAGTCATTAGCTGATGAAACTACTGCACATTTACGCAGCATGAGGCTCTGGGCTGATGGTGACTAGTTAAAGTGAGGGTTGAGGAAGACCTGGGGAGTGCTTGGGCCTGGCTCCTGGCCCAGAGGAGAGGCGGGCGTGGCAGCGGGGCGGAATGGCGGAGGGCCGAGATGATCGCAGGTGGATGAAGGAGGCCCGGATGAGGCGCTCAGAGGGCAGCGTGTCCAAGTGATACTGCACAGTGAAGGAGAAGTGATGATCTGAGGAAGGTAAGCAGAGAGCAGCGTTAGGAGGAAGCTGCACAGGGAGGAACAAACTGTTATGTGAGATTCTGAAGCCGAGTTCCCAACGCAGCGACACAGCGTTGTTGCGTTTTGGACATGCGGGTAAGGATTAGCTGTATTGGCTTTAGTAAAACCAGAGCATTGACCTTAGGCCTGGCCTTATCCAGCCGTACACTGTAGTTGTAGGTTGTAGTTTGGCAATGGCGAAGAATGCGATAGTACAGTAATCCCTTCTGGCTCTATCAAGAAATTGAAGCCGGAACATGAGGAATGTTTAGCAAATGTAATTTCTGGCAAAGATTGTGGCGCTACTGCCCATGGGCTCCGTTAGAGACAAAGAAGATGGCTAAGCTAAATGCTAACAACTCACTCGAGCGCACTACATAAGTCACGGCAAAAATCAGATCCAATCGTTTCCATCTGCAAAAGGAGTTAACCCCTCCCACCTGTTCACGAAGCTCAATGGATCCAGACCTTAGTGCAGAGGTGTCCAAACCAGTCCAGAAAGGGCCGCTGTGGCAGCAGGTTGCCGGGGCTTGGATCAGAACCAGCAGGAGCAGAGCAGACTCCGCCCACTTCATCAAGAGAGTTCAGTCTTAACCTGTAGATTTGAGGAAATGGGTGGAGTCTGCTCTGCTCCTGCTGGGTCTGACCCAAGCCCCGGCGATCCAAGATGGCGCCGTATTCAAATGAATGGTTGTGCTCAGTGGCGCTTTGTGACAGCATGGGGGCTGAAAGATTAGCGGAAGTTGCCTAAAACTCGCAAAGATCTATGGGAAACTCTCCTGTATTTGGGCATCGTCTGGTTCTCCCAGTTCTGCGCAGTGGATGATCTCCCATAATGCGTTGCGCCAAACACGCGTGTGTGGGTCTCACACCGGGTCTCACGCACGTGCACAGAGGGGCTCGGCTGCGCTCTGACCAATCAGAGCAGTTCATCAGAGCGGGAGTCAGAGCGAGAACCAGACGAGCAGAGTTTGTGGCACTAAAGTGTGGATTTAAACAAAACCGAAGGATTTAAAAAGAAAAAAAGTTCAGGATGACAAGGGACACTAAAATCCCCACAAAATCCAACCTTTATGAAAGCTGTAGGTTCTCTGTCAGGTTCTCTGTCAGCTGAGGTTGAGCCGTTTTAATATGCATTGCGTTCTATGGGGAAAATGTCTGGGTAGCCCACGTGAATTTAGTCTGGTTCAGTCTGCAGTACCGCGAGAATCCCCTGAGCACATGAGTTAATCAGCTACAAGCTAGTAATACCCTATCCAGTTATTATAATAGATCCATGGGTACAACCAGGCTACACTCACCTGTAACACTGCAAAAAAACATGGCAGATATGGTGGGCAAGCTTTGATCCAAAAAAGAGGGATTTAAGCTAGCATCTTTTCATGTACTTTAAAGTTCATTGCTCTGCAGAATGTCTGGGTCCGAGATCCTCCAGAGAAGTCATATTACAGGAGTCTCTGGTCACAGAGCTGTACCATGGCTTTAAAATATTTCCGCCAGAATTAACGGGTACTTATCGGCGACCACGTTAGCAGCCCTTGTATTCAGTCCGACAAGAACTCTGGGTGAAGGCACATGTCTACAATCGTCAGTCCTGGTGTAATCCTAGTTCAGCTCTCGTTTTGGCCGTTTTCCAGTGTCACCAGCTTATGACTCCATGTCCACTTTGCTCCTCTGTACCCACCGCTCTCACATCTGCCAGACAAACGTGCGTGGCGAAACATACATGTGAATATTTGCATCGATGTACGGCACCGTGGTATTTCATGGGCCCCTGGAGGATATCAAAGTTTGAGAGTCTGAGCTAATATGACGTGTTGTACATTATTTTAGAGCCAATTTTATAAAGATAACAGCATCAAAACAACAATTATATTATCACACACATTGTTTACATATAATTGATGTTCATACAAGGTTCATTCAGCACAGGAGTCTACAACACTGAGCCTCATGCCTTTGGTCCAGTTTTCTTTCAATCCAATCAGCAGCAATCTTTTTGTTTGTAGAAATATAAGAAGAGATAAAAAATCATTGGCTTCAATGCTCATATTTTACAAACAAAGCTTATAAAATACACCCTTTAAGCTTCCCCCAGACCTGACCTCCTGCGGCCCACAGATAAATTGAGTTTGAGACTCCTGCTTTACAGACACAAACGTTACATTTACTTTCACTATAGAGAGCCCAACGTAAACACAGATGGCTTCTGGGAGCACTGAAGCACAGGATTTGACAGCATTGATGTGTTCCCCCTGGACACTTTCGGAGCCTGGACAACTTTCTTTCTAAACGATGTGATACAGTAAAAAGACGTTTGGCGCCTTATCCAACACTCAACATTTCAAACAAAGATTAATACAAAATTGTAAAAGATTGTACAGTAAAATATTGTATCCTAATTTTTTTTTTTTGCTATTAAAGATCTATTATATTGCATGCTCTCGGTTGGCGGTGTAAACTGGAGGAACACACCTTTGGACACTCCTTAAATGGCTTCCTTTGGCTTTCCTTTTTTGGTGGATCACCTCGAGTCACTATACTAGAAGCTTGGAGCTGAAATCCACCTCACTGGGGCATCTCTAGCAATTTGTTTTGGGCAATTTTAGCATCAAGCTACATCTCAACCATTTAGTATAGACCTATAATCAAAAAACTATGGGGTAAAAAAAAGATTTGTTATTAGTGCTCCTACATCTTAGAAAATCAAAACTTATTACATTGCTTTCTTGAAGGAGTGAACACTTGTGTCCCACAGACCCGCCTCCTGCACAGACCCCCAACGTCCCACGGACGATCAGAATAAATGCTATTTTGTTTTGCAGATCCTGAGGACTTCATACAATAAATAACTCGGCAAGGAAAGTCTGTGGCTGAAGCTAGAGATGCACAAAAGGACATTTGTTTGTTCCGGTTTGGCGTCTCTTCCTCCTGCTGCCCTAGAATCGCAAAATCCAACCATCTGCTGTAAACGTGTCTTGTAGATCGCTGCACTTCTCACATGGGTCTGGGTCTGAGCCATAGCGGTTGGATTTCAGAAGGGGGGCCTTGTAAAAAATCTTTGTATGTGATTGGATAAACCACTTCTCTTGAATCAAGTCTTCCTTCAACCACTCACATTGAAGCACACAACTCCCAAGGGCTGCCAAATCGCGGCAAGATTTTCCAGCCCAAAACCTGAGAAAATCTCATTTGACTCTTAAAACACACATATATCAACATAGAACCATCAACATCTCGCCTCTCGCATTAAAAGTGACATTCTTGTCTTAATTTGTCCGTATTTAAACTTTTAAAAATTCACGGACTTTATGTCCGCCATCTTGGATTGCGTTCGCTGCCGTGTGAGACAAGCTTGAGAAGGCGGTGCAAACCAGACGTAACACCCGCGATCCTGATTGGTTGATTATTTTCTGATCTGCTGAAGGAGCTTGGTATGCGCTCGATCCCAGACCCTTCTGGGTGAAGCGAAACGCCTCTGGTGGAGCATGGTGGAACTACAAGGGTCTCGCCAGACTAGCTCTGATGATCCCCGTTTCTCCATGAACAAAGTCTGTATAATCAGTTTTATGCCACACTTTTCTGGAAAAATGTTTGAAGTCCAAAATGTGCAGAAGCCACAGCAGCTTTTCCCAAGGTGAAGTACAGTTTAGCAAAGGAAACTATTAGCCCTTTCTTTTTTATGCAGTGTATGGACAGTGTCTGAAGGACTCGTAGAATAAACATGTAAATGCTCCTAAAGGTGAATAATACAGCAGCAACACGACATTGTCACTCCATACGCACTGGTGATAAACTACAACTATAGCCACAGCTGCCCTGGGGCACACTGACGGAAGTGTGTTAGTGCCATCAGCCCTTCCCCCAACGACCCCCAACCACTCATGCACACACCAGAGTCATTCTAAGCCAAGTGAGTGAAGTGTCTTGCCCAAGAACATTGCTACAGTTTGGCACTTTACAGCCGCAGCCGCCCCTCTGTGGCACCTGGTGTTCCCAGAGGTCTCCCATCACAGTACTAACCAGGCCCTGGCCCTGCTTAGATTCAAAAGTCTGACAGGATCTGGCTTTCACTTGCAGGTATGACCTTGAATCTTGCATTGTCCTTACGCCCGAGGCCTAAATTTCATGTTTACTTTGTGAAAATTTGCTCAAACAGAAAGTTTGAATATAGCCTGGTCGAACCACACCATAGTACAGATTTCATTGTTACATGCAGAGCAATGATAATTGAGCAGAGTGTACGGATGGCTAAGGCCAGACTAGTTTGATAACAGACAGTTAAAAAGATTATATTCTTATAATAATCTTATATTCTCAGACAGTTTAGTTACTTCATAACGATCCTGCCTCTGGTTTTGACTAAAAATATTTGGCTTGAAAGAAACCGACAATATTTGATCTATTGGACAAATGTAATCTTGTCGACAAACGTGTTTCCACCACATCACTCCCTCAGCGTCTGTCCACGGCTCACACAGATCTGAGATGTGACTGGATCTAAAGCATAACATTAAAGCTGGGGTATGTGACTTTAAAGCTGGACTATAGATGGATTTCCGGTTTGCCAACACTCCGATGCGCGCACATTCAAAGAAGCAAGACATTCCAAGCGGCTGAGTGGTTAACATAAGTCTTGTTTGAACTCTGTACACCGTACGATTAATCATTTTTTCAATTAATTTTTAAATTTTTAATTGGTTTTCAGGAGAAACCACTTTCCCACACGCTGCTGAACATCCAGGGGGAGGACATTGAGCTGGTGGACAGCTTCAAGTACCTGGGTGTTCACATTAACAATAAACTGGACTGGTCCCATAATACAAACGCCCTGCACAAGAAGGGCCAAAGTCGCCTCTTCCTTCGGAGGAGGCTGAGGTCCTTCGGAGTGAGCAGGCCTCTGCTCAGGACTTTTTATGACTCTGTGGTGGCTTCTGCCATTTACTACGCTGCCGTGTGCTGGGCCCCGGGCAGCACAGAGCGGGACAGAAACAGACTGAACAAACTGGTCAGGAGGGCCAGCTCCACTCTGGGCTGCTCCCTGGACTCTGTGGAGGAGGTGAGGGACAGGAGGCCCCTGGACTCTGTGGAGGAGGTGAGGGACAGGAGGGTGCTAGCCAAAGCCACCTCCATCATGAACAACACCTCCCACTGCACAGGACTGTAGAGGAGCTGAGTTTCTTCAGTGGAGACTGAGGCACCCTCAGTGTAAGAAGGAGCGCTACCACAGGGCCTTTATCCCCACAGCTGTCAGACTGTACAATGAGTCACTTTAAGTCACTGTATAAGACTGAAAAAAACTGCACTAATATTGACACTATTTCTGATTGCCACTTTTAAATTGCCACTTTTTTTATTGTACATAATATATCCTGCATTTAACGTGTTTGCAGTTTTCTTTTTGCACTATATTGAGTGTTCTATCCATGCCAGATTTGACGTGTACATTTCTCCTTTGTGAGATAAATAAAGCATATCTTATCTTAATACACTTTCATAATAAACAAATGTCTATGTTGCTGCAAGGCCAGTTACATCTCGGGACCTTCGTCAGAATCATGTCAAGATTATCTACCGCTATCAAGTTTGAATTAAACTGAGTTTTTTGTTTGCCTTTTATTTGCCTAATGATCGCAGCTTGAGCCAATTCTAGCAATGAGTGTCAGTCCATAAACGGTATTATTATGACTTGGACCATACGCGCGCTCTGATTGGCTGATTACCGGTCTGATATGTTCCCATCTCAGACCGTTACCATGACAATTGGTCCGAACAGCGTGTATCACATTTGATATCTTTCCTCAGACCGTTACCATGACAATCAGTCCGCAGCGCGTATCACACTTGATTTCTTTCCTGAGTTTCCTCGGTAAATAAAGAAATAATGGGCGACAACTGGGCGCATTCTCCAGTGAATTCTATTATCGGACGAGTTTGACGAGTCAGAGGAAGACATTACAGAAAATAACAAAGAAAAAATAACTAACAGACAAGATGAGATTGACAACTTTGTTGCAGACCAGAAAGCTAAAACACGATTAGGAAAACCAAGTCGGAGATCGATATTTGCATAAATTAAAAATAGTCATATAATAAAACATTTATTAACCTCGCACTCGGTTAATAAGCCGTTATTATCAAATGTGTGTACATAAAGTTTTGAAACAAATGAGCTGAACTATCTGAATGGTTAAACAAATCCGTAAACATTGCTAAATAGTAAGTAAGTAAGTAATAGTATTTGTTTTCATGTCATCTTATGAAAATGAACTTAATGTTAAGTAGCTCAAATCTGGGCTAAGCTGTTTACGGTCATCAAATTTACGCCCCGTCATATTTGGCTACTGTAGCTGCACTGTTTAGGATGGCTCACATTCCTCAGAAACCCTGAATATTTCTGATCCTGCAGGTTATCTCCGTAAGTTGGTCCACGGCGATGGGCACAGAGCAGTGAGTTGTAAATGGGCCAACGGTTATCTGGCCTGATATCTATAATCACCTCATTCCGACACCCAGTGTCTATACAAAAGATAACCCAAAAGCACAGACATCTATAGATACAATTATGTGTTACGTGGGCATGTGAAGAATGTGAAATACTTTGACTCTGGTACTGAGTTTTGTGTTTTGAGGCAGATGTGCTCCACAGTCAGAGAGTGAGCATTAAAGACCTTATGCAGGGTTTGATTGATTTATAAACAGTTTTAATACCATTTTATATTAGAAGAGAACTACTAAAGGTTTCAAAATCTTTTTTTTTTTTGTCTGATCCCCCCAAATCGAAATAACCCCATAGCAACGCCCTCGAGACGAAAAAAATGCACAGCCCTTGGTGACGTCAGAGCGGGTACGTTTCAACGCTGTAAGGTGTTTAGTCTGATATTTCGTCGCAGATTTTAAGATGACAAGGCCGTGTACAGCGAATACTACACTACTGCTAGTGTGTGTCTCCTCATTGGTGCTACGATAGTCCAGTGGTTGTGTCAAAGCAGTAGCACCTCAGCATTTAGGGTTCAATATCCACCTCAGTCACATTTTCACTTTCAAACGGCAATATATGTGCAATGAGCAATTGACACCTGTAAAGTGAAATATTGTGTTGGACATCAGTGGAGAAGAGAGGATAGGAGAGTATCTGTGGCATAGATCCATGGCTTTCAATGTGTGGGCGTTACCCGCTGAGACGTCTCTCACAGGTTGGAGGAATAGACAACAAATTCATTAAAAACACATTTTTATAAAATATAGGATTTTTTTTGCTAGAACCTCTTTTAGATCGACAATAATTGATTAATCGTCACGCAATTTTGATATCCACAATAAAAAAAAAAAAACCTAAGGTCTTTAAGTCAAAGCCTTATGATGCCTGGGAGTACGTCCACAAAGACTTGGGGTACATCCTTACCCTGAACTGTTCCTGTATGGCAGGGTATGGACTTGTTACGGGTGTGGGCACTGTTGTAACTTGTTTTTGTTGTTCAATTACAGTCTTGACCTGGTGCACACCCGTTAACCCCTTTATTAGTGTAATCTGCGTTGTGTTCCATGTTCTGCGCTGTCTGAAATAGGACCACGACACAAGGAGGACCACTGGATGACTTTTACTAGTAGCTCCACAAAATAAATCAAAACAAATCCACGTCTCTCGCTACACTCAACTCCCCTCCTCAGATGCACGGCGCAGACTATCCAGTCCAGTCCATAGATGGTTTTCCTGACAAAGGAAAAAGCCACATTAGGTCAGGAAATTATCAACTTCAAGTGTTATACAGGTTGATCACTTTTTCTCTCTAGTTGTCTATCCATTTACAGAAAAACACCACAAAATTTGTGCTTTTAGATTAGCTCCAAAATATTGGTGTGCTCTTCTTCCACTCACAGTATCAATCTTGTTATGACTAGAAGGCTACGCAGGCTAACACAGGCTAACGCAGGCTAACACAGGCCAACTTATGAACAAATGTTTAGTTGTTTGAAGGCTGTTTCTCCTCAGACTAAAACAAGGGAGCCTCCCTAGCTACTTATTTAATATAACAGCAAAAGTTGCTAAAATGCTTACGCGCCGGTTAGCATTATCGCAACTAGCAGTTTGGTCCTCCAGCTCCTGTGGACTCACCCCCTGCAGGAGGATCAGTCAGGGGCTGGTGCTCTGTGAATTGGGTGCAGCTCTGACTGTCACCCCCTCGACCAAGAAATGGATTAAGGGGAAGAAAATGGATGGATGGATGGATAGCTGTTTGTTATAGCAGCGCTAAAAGTGAGCTAGCTATAACTTGACTGATCATGATGACATCAGGTCACAGCGGGTTCTCTTCTTATAGCAACATCATGTAACAGAGTGATCACTTATGGATCAGACTTTTTCATTATTAGCTCCTGTAGGACACAGACACTTACCAGATATGAAGTGTGCTCCACAGACGTTCACTCCAGTCGTAGGACCACTCCAACCCCAATCCGCATAAGCCACAATCTCCTCATATTTTGGGCAAATGGGTGACGTCCTCTCGAGATGTTGAACATACGCCAAACATTCTGGCTTCTATTTGCACAATTAATAACACAGCAACTTCTCATCTAGACTTAACGTAGCCACTGCTACATTCTTCTGTCACCAGGCTGTACTCAACTTGCCTGAGACGATCAGAATCCATCTATGAAACTAATCAAGTCCATGTTATGGTTTGCGTCCATCACCCTCTCAGCCAATCAGCTCTCAGCACAAAGTCAAATAGTGACTCACAGGAATCTTTCATACACAAAATATAGCATTTATTCTAATAACCAACTAAATATGAAAACCAGATCAGATTATGTTAGAGCTCTGAAGCTAAGCAGGGCAGGGTTTGGTTAGTACAATGATGGGAGACTTCTGGGAACACAGGAATCCAGGTACCACAGTGGGGTGGTTGTGGTGTGTAAAACTATACTTGTGTCTTTAGGCAAAACACGTCACCCACATTAAAATTAGTCTGGTGTGTACGTAAATAGTTGGTGGTGGTGGGAGGGGCCAAAGGCGCAGACTGTTGTTAAGTCTGCTCCAGGGCAGCTGTGGCTACAGTAGTAGTTTATCACCACTGTGTGAAGTGTGGTTGAGTGTGTAAGAAACCGATGTGTCATTATGTTATTGAAGACAGCATGTTGTGGTCTTGAGACTAAAGTTACGCACCCCAGCTTTAATGCGGACATGTGTTTGTGAATGAGCCTCTAGGCCGGTGCTGTCCCGGGACAGTGGCCTCCTGCTCATGCCTCAGTCCCGGTCCCTCACCTGCGCTCTTGCTCACGTGTCTCAGCGCGGACTCCGTCGGTCTCACGAGCCTCACGGTGTTGGAGCCGAGGCCCCGGTGCGCGCGCGGCCGCCCGTCAGGCTTTGCGACGCGGTGATACAGACTGAGCATGAACTGCAGACTGCGGTCCGTGTGCGCGGAGGCGGTCAGCGCTGTGGTCATCAGTGCGAGGAAGAGGAGGAGGAGGAGGAGGAAGGCGCGCGGCCGCATGGTGCTCAGGCTGCTGTACGTGCACTCATCCTCCACGATCACTGCGCGTGCACGGACCTCTCACGCATGTGCATCTATGGAGTCTCGCGCGCGTACCCACGACTGCACTTATCACTTGACGTGCGCGTGATCCGCCCCCCTGAGAGCGCGTGCACGTACAGGTCAGCTTGTGCGCGTGTAGCCGATGTTTCTATGGTGATGCAAAGTGTGGACAGAATACTGCAAAAAGAATACTTAAAACTAAAGTCAAAGGTTACATCAGCTTCACAAAGAATGAAAACACATTTGAAAACTAGAGAAGAAAGATCCAGGAACTCTTGTAATTTTAGTTCCATTGCTATTTGAAAGTTACGTACTCTTAGTGTAATAGGTATATTTATATCATAATGTATTCATATATGTATGCGTCTATGCGATAACACGAGATAAGGTAAGACTTTGTAGATCTCTGATGGAGAAATGTACACATCACATTTGGCACAGACAGAATCACTCAGATTGTGCAAAAGACAGAAGTGTGCAACATGTTAAAGGTTAAACATATAGTCTGTTCAGGATTCATTGTGTACAATAAAAAGTGGCAATGAAAGAAAGAGAGGAAATAGTGATGCAGGTTTTTCCTAGTGCATTAGTGACTTAAATCTTGTGATCATCAGTCCTGTTGGCATCAGTAACTACCAACAATAATAATGTGGTGCCGTTTGCTACATGACTTAAAGGTCCTATATATATTATTTTTCTCACAGTCCATAAGTACATGTGTGATAATAATTTGAGTGATACACCATACAACACTCAAAACTTAAATTATAGCCACGTATGTGCATAGAAGGGATGTGACCTCAATTGAAACACTTGGATCCACGCTCCTTTCCCCAGAATCTGACTTTGTAAACACAGGACGGTTTAGCTTAGGCTGGTAACTAATAATTTCAGACCTGAGAATAAATGTTTCCAACAATGTCGATCCGTCACATAGAGCCTCATGTCCTCGATCCAGAATTAGACCCTAATCATTTAGTTCGCAGAATTAGTCGCTGATTTCAAAGGCAGATTCAAAGGCAGATCCCGTGAATAGAAAGTCCAACTACGCTCGCACATTCCTCGTCTTCAGGTCAAATTCACATATTTACACAAAAAACATAAAAGTTACTGTGATGCTAACACTTTTAGTCCGAACAATAGCAGAAAAAACAGTGTAAAGTTCATCTCCAAGAATGCAGCTCTGCAGCGTCTCTGTGTCTGAGACCTTCACAGACTTTATATAACAGCAGTATGGGTTCACGGAGGTGACTTTATATAACCGCAGTATGTGTTCACGGAGGTGACTTTATATAACAGCAGTATGTGTTCACGGAGGTGACTTTATATAACAGCAGTATGTGTTCACGGAGGTGACTTTATATAACAGTAGTATGTGTTCATGGAGGTGACTTTATATAACAGCAGTATGTGTTCACGGAGGTGACTTTATATAACAGTAGTATGTGTTCACGGAGGTGACTTTATATAACAGCAGTATGTGTTCACGGAGGTGACTTTATATAACAGTAGTATGTGTTCACGGAGGTGACTTTATATAACAGCAGTATGTGTTCACGGAGGTGACTTTATATAACAGCAGTATGTGTTCACGGAGGTGACTTTATATAACAGCAGTATGTGTTTCACGGAGGTGACTTTATATAACAGCAGTATGTGTTCACGGGGTGACTTTATATAACAGCAGTATGTGTTCACGGAGGTGACTTTATATAGCAGCAGTATGTGTTCACGGGGTGACTTTATATAGCAGCAGTATGTGTTCACGGAGGTGACTTTATATACAGCAGTATGTGTTCACGGAGGTGACTTTATATAACAGCAGTATGTGTTCACGGAGGTGACTTTATATAACAGCAGTATGTGTTCACGGAGGTGACTTTATATAACAGTAGTATGTGTTCACGGAGGTGACTTTATATAACAGCAGTATGTGTTCACGGAGGTGACTTTATATAACAGTAGTATGTGTTCACGGAGGTGACTTTATATAACAGCAGTATGTGTTCACGGAGGTGACTTTATATAACAGTAGTATGTGTTTACGGAGGTGACTTTATATAACAGCAGTATGTGTTCACGGGGGTGACTTTATATAGCAGCAGTATGTGTTCACGGAGGTGACTTTATATAGCAGCAGTATGTGTTCACGGGGGTGACTTTATATAACAGCAGTATGTGTTCACGGAGGTGACTTTATATAACAGCAGTATGTGTTCACGGAGGTGACTTTATATAACAGCAGTATGTGTTCACGGAGGTGACTTTATATAACAGTAGTATGTGTTTACGGAGGTGACTTTATATAACAGCAGTATGTGTTCACGGGGGTGACTTTATATAGCAGCAGTATGTGTTCACGGAGGTGACTTTATATAGCAGCAGTATGTGTTCACGGAGGTGACTTTATATAACAGCAGTATGTGTTCACGGAGGTGACTTTATATAACAGCAGTATGTGTTCACGGAGGTGACTTTATATAACAGCAGTATGTGTTCACGGAGGTGCGCTATACGTTTATTTTATTATTAAACGGTACTTCCGCATCGACGAACAGGCTCGAAGCAGTTGTATAAAGTCACAGGAGCATGAAAACTCATATGTTCACAAGCACAATGTCCCCCATTGTCAACCCTGGTTTAGTCCTGTTTTAGTCCTGGTGTAGCTCCTGTTTTGGTTGTTTACAGTATTTGCAGTCAGCTCGCTCAGACCCTAATGTCCCCGTGACCCCTTTGGGGCTCTCTGATTGGTCGCTGCACGAGCGCCCCGAGGAAACGCTTAGCAAAATGTATCTCCTGCGTGCGTCCATTTTTCAATGTGCTTTCAATGTGAAAGCAGCATTAGAACCTTCTAGACCTGTGGACCAGTCCCCAGTCTGTACCCTGGACTCCCTTAGACCTGTGGACCAGTCCCCAGTCTGTACCCTGGACTCCCTTAGACCTGTGGACCAGTCCCCAGTCTGTACCCTGGACTCCCTTAGACCTGTGGACCAGTCCCCAGTCTGCACCCTGGACTCTCCTCTAGACCTGGTCTCCACACGACTCGAGAACAACATACAGATTTTATCAGTAAACATGAAACAGAAAGTGAAAGATCTGGACTCAGACGATGAGTGGATCCTGGAACATGAGGTCAGAGGTCATCAGTCTCCTGTCCCTTAAAACACTCGACTCAAACACACGTTATTGAGGATCACGGCCGTTTCAACACGAGGAACGCGATCGATGTCTGAAGGTCAGACCTGGGACCAGGAGCCAGAGAGAGCAGCTCTGCAAACAGCCAGAGTCAACACGGAGGGTCTGGCTGCTGTTTGTCCTGGGACAGAGACCAGGACCAGACTGGGGACTTCACATGGACTGCACTGGCCCCAAGAGCGTTACGAAACCATGAGGCGCTTTAAAGCTGGGGTACCTAACTTTTAAACAACATATAATGGAGCCTTCCTGATTCCTTGCTGTCACTATAGTTTTCACATACATGTATTTGTGGTCTGAGTCACATCTTTAGATCAGCGTTTTCAGACAGAAAAGTGAAAAAGAGAGGACCACCCTGACTCAGCCAATCAGGTCTCAGCCCAAAGAGTCAATTAGTGACTCACAGGGCTCTTTCTTATACAATTTATAGTACAATACGATACATATTTTTTTCCTATTGATATGAAGACAGCATGTTTTGGTCTAGTTTGTTGACACTATTTTACTTTTACAAGACTCTTTTGTACGAACATTACTTTGGCTATCGCTGCAAACAAGTTAAAAAGTAAAAACAGAAAAAGGCATGCATAGAAATAAAAAAAATCTACATTTCTCAGAATTATTACCATATACAAGTGCACTAAATACATACAATAGACTTCTAGCAGTTCAGTAAAGTGACAGTAGTGACAGAAAAGTTACGTCATAAAGGTCAAGGGTGATGAGTTATGAAGTGTTCATGAGTCCAACACATGGATCTATAATAATAACTGGATAGGGTATTACTAGCTCATGGTACTGCAGACTAAAACAGCTTGACCTCAGCTGACAGAGAACCTGACAGAGAACCAACAGCTTTCATAACGGAGGATTCTGTGCCAATTTTAGTGTCCCTTGTCATCCTGAACATTTTTTCTTCTTAAATCCTTCAGTTTTCTTTAAATCCACAAACTCTTCATCATGGGAGCTCGTCCACTGCGCAGAACCGGGAGGACCGGACAATGCCCAATATAAGTCCCCGTGTATGTCCCAGGTGCTTGGAACAACGCGATCCAAGATGGCGCCCTATTCAAATGATTGGTTGTGCTCAGTGGCGCTTTGTGACGGCATGGGGGCTGAAAGATTAGCGGAAGTCGCCTGGAACTCTCAAAGATCTATGGGACACTCACAAAGATCTCTGGGAAACTCGCAAAGATCTATGGGAAACTCTTCTGTATTTGGGCATCGTCTGGTCCTCCCGGTTCTGCGCAGTGGATGATCTCCCATAATGCGTTGCGCCAAACACGCGTGTGTGGGTCTCACACCGGGTCTCACGCACGTGCACAGAGGGGCTCGGCCGCGCTCTGCGCAATCAGAGCAGTTCATCAGAGCGGGAGTTAGAGCGAGAGCCAGACGAGCAGAGTTTGTGGCACTAAAGTGTGGATTTAAACAAAACCGAAGGATTTAAGAAGAAACAAAGTTCAGGATGACAAGGGACACTAAAATCCCCACAGAATCCGACCTTTATGAAAGCTGTAGGTTCTCTGTCAGCTGAGGTTGAGCTGTTTTAATATGCATTGCGTTCTATGGGGAAAATTTCTGGGTAGCCCACGTGAATTTAGTCTGGTTCAGTCTGCAGTACCGCAAGAATCCCCTGAGCACATGAGTTATTCAGCTACAAGCTAGTAATACCCTATCCAGTTAATATAATAGATCCATGGGCTTGGCCTCCTGCCTGAGGGGGGTGTTGGAATAGTCCGTGTGCAGGTGAGAGGAGCGTGGTTGGAATAGTCCATGTGCAGGTGAGAGGGGTGTGGTTGGAATAGTCCATGTGCAGGTGAGAGGGGTGTGGTTGGAATAGTCCATGTGCAGGTGAGAGGGGTGTGGTTGGAATAGTCCATGTGCAGGTGTTAGGGGGGTGTGGTTGGAATAGTCCATGTGCAGGTGTTAGGGGGGTGTTGGAATAGTCCATGTGCAGGTGTTAGGGGGGTGTTGGAATAGTTCATGTGCAGGTGTTAGGGGGGTGTTGGAATAGTCCATGTGCAGGTGTTAGGGGGGTGTTGGAATAGTCCATGTGCAGGTGTTAGGGGGGTGTTGGAATAGTCCATGTGCAGGTGAGAGGGGGGTGTTGGAATAGTCCATGTGCAGGTGTTAGGGGGGTGTTGGAATAGTCCATGTGCAGGTGTTAGGGGGGTGTTGGAATAGTCCATGTGCAGGTGAGAGGGGTGTGGTTGGAATTGTCCATGTCGAGCCCGGGCGATGTACAGGTCCTGCAGCAATCTGAGAAGAAAGTGGAGGAGATATGATCTAAACATGTCCCACGCTGCAAAAAGTGATGAAAAATGTGTCAAAAATTGCTCAAATTTGGCAAAAATGTACCTTGATTTTATCACATTTTGACTGCGTTAAAACAAGATTCTCCACTGGGACAAAGCAAAATGTCTCTTGAAATAAGACTAAATGAGTTTGTCCTGTTGGAGAATCTTGTTTTAAGACATGCGCTGAAAAAAAGTATTTTTGTGGCTTGAATGTAGTTTGTCATGAGTGAATACTTCATAATATTATTAGAGATAAATGTGAAAGCAGTGAGTTTTGAAGTGTTTTTATTATTTTTTCTTATTTCCAGACCTTTCTTGTTTAGATAAAATAAGTTTGTGATGCTATATTTTATGAACTCATTTCTAAAAAAAAATTAACAAATCAATAGAAAACACTTGTATAAATTTATTTTTTTTTAAATTCTAGAATCAAGTCATTTGGGCCAGTTTTATTTTTATATTTTCAGAAATATTTTCATCCATCCATCCATCCATCCATTTTCTTCCGCTTTATCCGTTGCCGGGTCGCGGGGGCAGCAGTCTAAGCAGAGACGCCCAGACTTCCCTATCCACACACACTTCCTCCAGCTCATCCGGGGGGACCCCAAGGCGTTCCCAGGCCAGCTGAGAGACATAGTCCCTCCAGCGTGTCCTAGGTCTTCCGCGGGGCCTCCTCCCGGTGGGACGTGCCCGGAACACCTCCCCAGGGAGGCGTCCAGGAGGCATCCGGAACAGATGTCCGAGCCACCTCAACTGGTTCCTCTCGACGTGGAGAAGCAGCGGCTCTACTCCGAGCTCCTCCCGTGTGACTGAGCTCCTCACCCTATCTCTAAGGGAGCGCCCAGCCACTCTGAGGAGGAAGCTCATTTCGACCGCTTGTATCCGCGATCTCATTCTTTCGGTCATTACCCAAAGCTCATGACCATAGGTGAGGGAGGGAACGAAGATTGACCGGTAAATCGAGAGCTTTGCCTTTCGGCTCAGCTCCCTCTTCACCACAACGGTCCGATACAGCGACCGCATAACTGCGCACGCTGCACCGATCCGCCTGTCAATCTCACGCTCCATTCTTCCCTCACTCGTGAACAAGACCCCGAGATACTTGAACTCCTCCACTTGAGGAAGGACCTCTCCACCCACCTGCAGAGGGCAAGGCACCTTTTTCCGGTCGAGCACCATGGCCTCGGATTTGGAGGTGCTGATTCTCATCCCAGCCGCTTCACACTCGGCTGTAAACCGCCCCAGTGCATGCTGCAGGTCCTGGTTCGTTGGAGCCAACAGGACAACATCGTCCGCAAACAGCAGAGATGAAATCCTGTGGTCTCCGAACCGGACCCCCTCCGACCCCTGGCTGCGCCTAGATATTCTGTCCATATTTACAGTGAACAGAACCGGTGACAAAGGGCAGCCCTGTCGGAGGCCAACATTCACCGGGAACAGGTCTGACTTACTGCCGGCAATGCGAACACAGCTCTGGCTCCGGTCATACAGGGATCGGATGGCCCTCAGCAGAGGACCTCCGACCCCGTACTCCCGGAGAACCCCCCAAAGGACACCCCGGGGAACACAGTCGAACGCCTTCTCCAAATCCACAAAGCACATGTGGACAGGTTGGGCGAACTCCCATGAACCCTCGAGTATCCGATGGAGAGTATAGAGCTGGTCCAGTGTTCCGCGACCGGGACGAAAACCACACTGCTCCTCCTGGATCCGAGATTCGACCATCGGCCGTAACCTCCTCTCCAGTACCTTGGAGTAGACCTTACCGGGGAGGCTGAGGAGTGTGATCCCACGATAATTGGAACACACCCTCCGGTCCCCCTTCTTGTAGAGAGGGACCACCACCCCGGTCTGCCACTCCATTGGCACTGCCCCCGATCGCCACGCAATGTTGCAGAGACGTGTCAGCCAAGACAGTCCTACAACATCCAGAGACTTTAGATAGTCAGGGCGGATCTCATCCACACCCGGAGCCTTGCCACCATGGAGGCTACCAACCACCTTGGTGACCTCAGCCAGGGAGATGGATGTACCCGCCCCAACATCCTCAGCCTCTGCCTCTGTAACGGAGGACGTGACGGGGGGATTGAGGAGAACCTCAAAGTATTCCTTCCACCGCCCAACAATATCCCCAGTCGAGGTCAGCAGCTCTCCACACGCACCGTACATGGTGTTGGCAAAGAACTGCTTCCCCCTCCTGAGGCGTCGGATGGTTAGCCAGAATCTCTTCGAGGCCGACCGATAGTCATGCTCCATGGACTCTCCGAACTCCTCCCAGTCCCGGGTTTTTGCCTCTGCAACAGCCCGGGCCGCGGCACGCTTGGCCTGCCGGTACTGGACAGCTGCCTCAGGAGTCCCCCGAACCATCATGGCTCGATAGGACTCCTTCTTCAGCCTGACAGCATCCCTTACTGCCGGTGTCCACCACCGGGTTCGGGGGTTGCCGCCGGGACCAGCACCAGAGACCTTGCGACCACAGCTACGAGCCGCCGCATCGGCGATTGAGGCAGAGAACATGGTCCACTCGGACTCCATGTCCCCCTCCTCCGCCGGGACCTGGGAGAAACTCTCCCGGAGGTGTGAGTTGAAAGTCCGTCTGACAGGGGGCTCAGCGAGACATTCCCAGCAGACCCTCACTATACGCTTGGGTCTGCCAGGTCTGACCGGCTT